TTTTCTTATCCTGGATGATTTAACAAATCTTTGTACTATTTTCCATAGAAAAACCGATATAAATATTCTAGCGAACACAATATTTTTATTAGTATCGCAAAATTCATCGATAGCAACATACATACGTACATCTTTTTTGGTACAAACTTATTGTATGGAACTTATCATGAAACAACATAAGAAGTTACTAATTTACAATCTATTATGCAAAAACTAGTTTTTCAACCTGAAACTGATATTAAATTTCTTCCTGCTCATAAATCTTTTTTTTTTCAGTACTCTAATCGAAGTGGAAGCAGTTAGCCATAATAAATAGATAGCTGTTTTCTTTACTTTTAATGTACTTTGGATAGAATGTTGTATTAATCAGTATTAACAAGCAGCTTCTCTTCAATTAATTTTTTTCTATGCCAATTCATTAAAATGTATCATATATCTATGTTAAAACGCATTAACTTCTGTAATTCCTTTGCATACAGACGTTTAACATGTTCATTACTCTAATATCTTCGTTATATGCGTTAAACGGAAAATAACCGTTTTCACGGGTTTATTTCTTGAATTTGTCTAGTAAACGAGTTTTATAGCGTTGTTTTCTTCAATTCTCATCGTCCATGCATCAAAACGACGTTTTTCCATTTATCTGTCTGCATGGGTATTTAGAATGAAGACTTTAAATCTTTTTAAAATCTAAGAAAGTACAGTTTTTTAGACAAAATTTATCTTGTAATGAAATAATTCGTATATAAAATGCATCAATGGATGAAGAAACAAAAAAAACTGAGTGTTTGTTCCACCAGAAATATTATGGTTAATCCAGACATCTAATTTCATACCTGGGTAGAAATTACTATTGCCACCGTACATAGTTGATTTGTTGAGATAAGAACTGCGGAAAGATAAATATACCGGTTTTAATCAATGAATAAAAATTCAGTTTGTAACTTGTTTATATAGATACTCTCTTTTTCTTATTTCATTTCTCGCGTTACTACAAGACAAAAGAAACTTATCCAACCATAACGAAATGTAAGATTCAGTCAATATCGATAGGTATTTTTTCTTATTAGCCATGCTGATCAAATGTGCGCATCTGATTACATATTTCTACCTTAATTCTTATCTTAATTAATGCATTGCGTCTTATTATTCATTGTTATGAAATAACATCGATGAATAACATAAAACTAGATACTATTTTGCTTCGATTTGACAACATCACATGAGCGTACTAAAGTGGATTAATGATATGAGGTATTTTACCATAAAAACACAGTATAATTTAACATATGTTCATGTTTTCGTTTTTCATACGAATTTCACGTAAATAACTTAATAAATCGAAAAACAGACTGACCTATCTATCGTGAAGAGAAGACAAATACAATCTGTTTGCACTCGACGTTTGCTTTTCAACATTCGATTATTTTGTTAAGATTTAGATGAATTTTTAAATAATAATTTACTGTGACTTGTGCCAGAAAAAAAATAATTTTAAGACATGCATATTTTAATTTGCCAACGCGATTCATGTTCTTTTTTGATATATTCAAACACTTCTCATGGCTCTGTATTAGATGTCCACGCACAAGATAAAATGTAAAATACATATGCTAATGTAAAAATGAATAAAACATACAAGACCCAACACAATACACGATAAGAAGAAGAGAAAAGAAAAAAAAAGAAGAAAAAGAAAGCAACAAATAATGGAACTCTTTGAATAACTGAAATAATATGACATTGTAAAAACTATAATCATTTATATAATTTAAAACTAAGTTCTTGTTTTACATAGTTTACTTGTAGAAAGATGTTTGATTACGTTCATCATAAATGGTACATTTTTATTTGTTATATTTTATTTTGTATTTGTATAATTTTGTTCCTAAATAAGTTTTAGAAAGAGTCTTTTGTACAATTAATGAAACCAAATATTTTGATTCAATTTATCATATTGTGATCCGATAATTTTCATTACAAGCCACACAATTTAATTGTAATATTTATTAATTCGTTTATACCTATATTCCATAAAAACATTTTCGTAAGGATAACGTAACGAATTTATTTTGATTCAATTAATTATATTGTGACAAATATAGTTCTGTCTAAATATTTTTGTAAAATTAATGAAATCAATTTATTTTAATTAAATTAAAATATATTACATTATAACAGATATAATTCATCATAACAAGTTGCTCAATTTTTATCGTAATAAGTTGCACATTTTTATTTTTATCTTCATAAGTTAAATAATATGACCAATCTATGTTAATTTTAATTTTTTAACAAAATCAGCTTGAATGAATATTATTTATTACGTATTAGCTGTTGTTGTAAATTTTTGATATCACGAGTACCTAAGATCGTTTTTATTTCATCTATTGGAGATTCCATAAAACATTTGTTCCAAAGAGCATGAAATTTTGCCAATCGAAAAACAGACTGACCTATCTATTTTGAAGAAAAAAGATAAATACAATCTACTTGCACTACACGTTTGCTTTTCAGCAATCGATTATTTTGTCGAGATTTGGAAAAATTAAAAAATTAAAATTTTTTTTATTATTTGTGACTTGTGCCAAAAGAATTAATTTTAAGAAATGCAGATTTTAATTTGCCAACGCGTTTCATGTTATTTATTGAAATATTCAAACACTCATCAGGGCTCTGTATTCGATGTTCAGGCACATGATACATCAACAAGAATATAATAATGATACCATGCGTACAAAAAAACAAATATCCGATCAAAATAAAAGATCAGAAGAAGATAAGGAGAAGAAAAAGAAGGGTGTGGGTGTGGGTGTGGGTGTGGGTATGGAGACAACATCAACACCCACGCCCACACCCACACCCACACCCCACCCTACGTATTCGTCGATCGAGATCATTCAGTGTACGTATCTGATTGGGAAAATCATCGTGTGATGAAATGGGTGGAAGGTGCAAAACAAGGCATTGTCGTGGCTGGTGGTCAAGGAGAAGGAAATGGTCTTACACAATTGTATTGTCCTGGAGGAGTCGTTGTCGATCAATTGGGCACTGTCTATGTGGCTGATGGAGGGAATGATCGAATCATGCGTTGGCCCAAAGGAGTCACACAGGGAAATGTCATTGTTGGTGGAAACGGTCAAGGAGGACAATCGAACAAACTCAATGGACCCTTCGGTTTGTCATTCGATCGACACGGCAATCTCTATGTCGTCGATAACGGAAATCATCGAGTCCAAAAATTCAACCTGGAATCCAATAAATGAAGGACTACGAAACGAAAAAAAAACTAATTTTTCATTTTAAACATTCGTGTAATTATGAACTGGTCCGCGCGCCGCCGGAATTCTTGGATTTCATGAAAAAATAATCATAAAATATTGTGTGCTTTTATAAGCATAAAACTGATCAAAGTATATAGGCCGTTACGCTGCTTTCACGCAAGGATTTCGAACTCTTGGAATCTTTGAAAAATTGGAAACTACCTCTTCATTAAAAATCAATGAAAACCGTTAGAAAACTTCGTATTTAGATGTTTTTGAGATTGTGTGACACTGCTCAACATCTGAGGAATCATAGATGCTCCGAGATTTCATAGAATACTCGTATTTTTTCGATTTTCAGAAATCTTCATTGCTAGGATTAGAGAGGAAAGGAAGATTCAAAGTACTCCATGCGTTAAAGTGTTATGTGATCCTCAGAATAACGAAGACCAGGATGGAATCTAAAAATTTCAAGAACTCCGACATTGTGAAGCCTTCGAATCCTAGAGATCCCAAAAACGTCATATAGAGTCCCATTGGCTTTGGAAGCTTAAGCAATGAGTCGTAGGATTCCGTGACTTGAAATGTTGCGTGATGTTCAAAATAATGAAAGCCATGGTCTAATCTTTTAGATTCCAAGAATCCGAAGGCGTCCAACATTGAGAAGCCGTGAAATATTAAAAATCCTTAAAACTCGTATAGAGTCCCATAGGCTTCTGGACGCCAGAACAAGGATTCTAAGGATTTCATGACTTCAAGCATGGTCGTGTCTGCAGAATAATGAAGGCCATGGTGAGTGGTATTAGATTCCAAGGATTGCAAGAGACCGGACATACATGGAAAACCTAACCGAGGATTATATGGTTTGAAACGTTTCGTCTTCTGAAGAATAATGAAGGGCATGGTGGCTTCTGTTATATTCGACGGAGTCGAAGAGATCAGTCATAAGGAAACGTTGGCATCGTAGAAATCCTGAATCCTCTTATGGAGTCTCATCGGGATTGGAAACCAAAGAAAAGATTCGAAGGATTCTGTGACTTGATACGTTATGTGGTCTTCAAAATAATGAATGTACTAGTGAACTCCATTGGATTTCAAGGATTGCGAGCGTTTAGACAGAGACAGGCATTGGACTCTCACAAACAGTAGAACTCGGCATGGTAGGTACATGTGGTGGGTGGAAAAACTAGTATTCAAAGGATCCGTTGGCTTAAAATGTTGTGTGGTGTTAATAATATAGAAAACATGGTGTATTCTATTAGATTGCTAGGATGGGAAAGGGTACTGCATTTGAAATCGATGGCGGAATGTGGGAGTCGAATGGCATTGTTGTCGGGTGTGGGTGGGTGTGAGTGTAGATCCGTTGTACTGTTCCTCCAAAAGACACCCACACCCACACCCACACCCTTCTCACACCCTTTATAAGAGAAACTATGATTAATGTTTTATCGATCTGTTGATAAAAATTTCATACGCATTAAAAAACAATCCATTTAATATGACAATGAAAGTTCAGCCATATCGTCATGATTACATTTCTCATTTATCACCAATGCTTGTTCTTGAAATTCAAACGCTTTTTTGAAACTCACATATATATTTTCGAAGAAAATAAAAGTTAATGTAAGTTTCAATTCAGGTTTCGCGACTACCCTCCTTCTACCCTAGCAACCAGAGAACAAGAAGACAAATATTATTGGGTATCGTTGCCTAGTAATGAGAGAAAATTTGTAAATAATATCATTACCCAGATTATACTGACGCTCTGTTGATGTTGAATAGTTGACATATAGCGGGCACTGGTCTCTAAATGCAACGATAGGATCTTACTCTAGGCTGAAATCATCTGTGTTGTATTATTTTGGATTTAGCGAAGTTTGCATAGGGTTAAGATAAAACAGGGTGAGCATCATCAATTCTAAATTGAAGCAAACTCAACACTACATTAGAAACTTCGTCGACTGAAACAATGATTTTTACGGTAATTTACTAAACTATTGAGTCAATATAATGTTGAAATGAGAAAACGAAAATTAAAATTACATTTACCACTTTTTATGGCATGATTTGTATCAGAGATGTCTACAGAGCACATTTTTTTATCCTGCCCTGCCCTGTGGTGCAGGACAAGGAAGACGCCCTACAGGGCGTAAAGAATATTAAAAAGGCGTCTTATATATATACATATTCAAATACTGATATGTATGTATCAACTTAATAAAGTAAACAGGAGTCATGATTCACAATAAGTAGCAATAATCACGACGCATGCAGAAAAAACATTCAGAAATCTTTTTTTGATTAAAAAGCGATTAAAACGGCACTATTTTAATCATAATAGAATCTATTCTTTTACTCTAAACTTTTTTATTTGCTCTAATTCAATGAATTTTCTCTAATTCTTTTAATAAATTGCTGCAATATAACAGATTAGACAGATGAGAAAAATATTTTTAACAACAAGAAATGAATAAATTAAAAGTATCGTTTTTAATGTTTTTTTTAGCGTTTTTTCACTTGAAGCCTGAAAGAGAATTTCAGTAAATAACAAACGAAGTATATTTTATTTTTTATTATGAACCTATTGGTCTCGCACATATGATTTGATTTTATTCATTTTCTCAGGTGTCAATTTTTTTTCCTTTAGTAACTCTAATTGTAATTGATTGACGATATATGGTGGAGTTGCTATAACGGTAGAAATGCTTGATACAGAGGAATTCTTAACATTTGTTCGATGGATAGTAGAGTGAAAGTAAGCATCATCAAGTCAATCAGCAGGCTTTGAACTCAAAATTTTGTTTGTTTGCGTAATCGAATAGCAAGAAATTGAACGAAACTTATAAATGTGTTTCTATTACAGCTATTTTTTCTTCTACAATATCGTGCTCATATTTTCATTAGAATATTGATTTCTTATTGATATATGATAGTTCTAGAAAACCATCTGATAGCTACATTTGACTTGTTTCTATACGTAATTCGAAAAACATCTACGAAATAAAACATGGCAATTATTATTAAAAGAAACGATCTACTCTTTGGAATTTCCAGGACAGAAAAAGATCTCTCTGTTCTGAAAAATTTCAAAAAGTAGATTACTTTTTAAAAACAATTGTCATAAGTTATTTCGAAGATGTTTTTCGAATTACACTCAGAACTAATTCAAACATAGCGATCAAACAATTAAAATTTTTCTTATCTCTTCAATTATTCTGCAATGTTCGTGATCGTGATCAAAAATATCAATAACGCAGTACACTAGTGAAGATGAGTACAATGTGCTGAGTTCCGAAAGGATCACAAGTATTACAAATTTAATGCTGCAAGCCTTTTTAAGTCGTCGAGCATTCATATGATCGCTTTGCTTTTAGTCATGTCTTGTATAGTAGTATTGTGTATGAGAAGATCTCAAGAAAGATAATCTGAAGTTTTCTAGTTGTTTTAATTTCGTTTTAACAAAGAAATAAATCGAGAGTTGATATACATTGAAGTAGAATGATGTGTCAATCTCAAATCACGATATGATCGAAACTTGTAAGTATGATTGAGTTAAGACTTTCGATATTCCAATAGAGAAGAAAACATTTTCATTCTTTTAAAAGCCGTAATAAGTTGAACAAAATTATGATAAATTGATAGAGAAATCTTCTATGATAGATCATTGTAACAAATTCATAACTCGATTCGCTTCTCTCTCGATTGTCGTTCAGTGAGAGTAAATCAAACGAATTGTATCGAGACTTCGTTGTGAAATTTTCTATACCTATACACATCATTGATCTTTCGTCGCTCGAAAATAAATATTTTTTTGAAGTATTTGAAAAATTTTGTCACATCGCTGAGATTCGTAGTGATAGAAACAATGAGCATTGTTATTTTACAGCGTTTTACTCACATTCTCGTTGATTTTATCAAAATCGTACTGCATAAAACTTAATCAAACGTTTCTTAATGTAGGTGTATTCTTCTCTGTATCATACAGACATCGATACCAACAACCATATTCCTCCATCCATTCACCAATATCGATTCTTTACTTGAAGACTGTGAAATATTGACTTCGAATAAAAGTGTCTTGATGATAGACATGTATTTTAGACAAGAAAATGTTTTCTGTATTCTTCAATTGAGAGTATTTGAAAGAAAAGACTAAACATGATAAATATTATTTCGAAAAGGTTTTGTTTAGATTAAAATGAGTAACACATTTATACAGAGGAGCAGGTAAAAATGCTGAAATGGAATTTGTACTAATTTAGAAAGAGAAATGTTAAGTTAATCGAGTGATGTTACTAATGATGGTTCAATAATATCTGGTAAAAATAATAATCATGAGGCAAATGAATTTTTATCAAAATGGAAAGTACCCTGTATTATTGATATTTTTGATTTCCAAGTTTAAACAACATTTATAAAAATAGATCAGGTTGAAAAATATTATTCTCGCTTATTTCTTAAAAACTTCTTTTAGGCCGTAGTCAAATCAGACAATTGAGATCAGCCGATGTAATATATAAATCAAGTTGACAAAGTCTAAGCGAATCTGTTCATTTTTAGTATAATTCATATGTTGAATGTTTTACGTGATCATCAACGATGAAAATTTTGTTCAAGAAACAGTTTAATAAATATTTACCTTCGTATTCATGAAGATTTTGAACCTACTAGATTTAATCAACCATCAGAATATTCACTTTGATTTATTCTAAAATAAAATGTCAACTCATTATTTAACACACTTATTCCAAATCGAATGAAACTTGTTAGAATATCATCAATTTCTAATTCACAAAAACAAATAGATAAATTTACTACTTCATTTTTTATCAAAAAATTCTTTAGCTAATTAATTATAAATATTATAGAGTTGATTCGTATGGAAATATTTTTTATTATTTAAAGTTAGACGATTTATTGTTTAGATTGCTCAGTTAGTTTCTGAATGGCTCTAATGAGCTAGTGCTTTTCCAATTGAAATGGAAAGTGATCTTTTTTCGTTT